TATATATATATATATATATATATATATATATATATATATATATATATATATATATATATATATATATATATATATATATATATATATATCCCTGCCGAAGCATAGCTTTCTGTGTCATTGTTTAGCGTAGTTAATGCTGAACAAGCCTAACTTTCTCTCTCAAGGACTACTGGATGGATGAGAGGTTTATTCCAAAACGGAAACCTTAGAATTTTGTTTAATTAATTTCCTTAATTTTTTTTACGTTTTAATTAAATTTAGTGACAATAAATACATATAACCGTTGTGACAATATTATATCTCAATTAGATGTAAGTTTAGATTCATTGGAGGAATAAATATATCTACTCCCAAACGAAGCCATTCCAGAAAAAGGAACGGGTAGCACAGCATGTAGGTTTCGGAACTCAAGTGCAGTGGCATATAGTAGCGACTAAAATGCATCTCGCATAGTTTACTTGAAGTTCCACGACCACTTGGAACGATGCAGATGGTTGGTGAGATTGATCACGCCCGGGCAGGTCCTCGTTGTGTCTACAGCTTGGATGGAGACGGATACCAGCCCCACGGGTCATCTGATATGTATTCGGTGACCTGCTTGACGCTCAAGTAGTTATCCAGCCCCCTGTTGTACAGAGAAAGGAAAAGCATGATAGAGAAAAATGCAAGAGACGGACTGCAAAGATTTTTACAAGACTCACCATTCACCAAGTTCACGCCCAAAACCACTGCGCTTGGTTCCTCCCCAAGGAGCTTGACAGAAGCAGGGTTGCGAGCAGTTTACCCAAATAACTCCCGCTTGAATCATCTGAATGGGCAAAGAAAATTCTGAGCTTGCTTGACCAAGAAAATTTCGCACTCAAATGCAGCTCCTTAAAGTTGGTTTTACTTATATTTGTGACTGGCTAAACCAAAGTAGGGGAGAGGTACAAATTCTGATGTTAAATACCACCAAATCCGGTCCATCTGGTTAGATGACTTGGTACTTTGCTACAAATGCCTAGTGACGTACAAGTAACTTATATCTCATAATTACTTTTGTATCATCATGCCATGTGAAACTTGTTTCCAATGTAGTTTCATTTTCTGTGACTTGTAACATCAATGATATAAACAGACCTTATATACAAATTAAATAACATAAAAAATACGAATAAAATAGAGAAAATGGAGGATCCTAAAGCATCATAAAGTAGAAGGTTTTGATATCGTTGATTAATTATTAAAAAAAAAATTTGAAAAAAAAAAAAGATTGCTCACAGAACTAGGCAAAATAGTGAAAATGGAGAGGCATGTTCTGATGAGTGATCCATGACCACCAAAAATCCTCTTAGGTTAAACAAGTACCCTTTCTCATGTTGATATGGATATATTGCACAATGATACAATATGTCTGGGCTCCACTCTTCGTAAAAGAGGAAGTAGAAAGTTGATATGGATATTAAAGAATATCAAAAAAGATTAAACTGACACATGGTACGATGGAGCGTAACAATGGACTCATATGTACCACCCGTACTAGGTGGTACACCATGGTACCATGAAAACCTTGCTACTACCAACTCTCCAATATTACCATCATCTATACCACCTCATCACAATAACTACTGTTGTTATCCTGTCACCACCTCATCACTAAGTTTCCCATTGTCTCCACCACCATGCCATCATTGATTCTACCACCACTACCATGTCGTTGCAATCAAGGTCTAAACTATCAGGCAAGTTGCCCAGTACAAGCTAGTATTTACCGGTTCAACACTGAACCAGCATAAAAACCAACTAGTTTCACTCAGTTTGGTTCTTGCCAAACATACTGCTCAGTATAGTTTTTCATATCTCGTGTACTGCCTGGTATTTGACTGTTGTACTTAATTACCAAGCAGTAAGTTTACTGCCCAATACTTGTATCCAGAACTCCCTCCCACATCATGGGCACCCTTTTTTTCCCTTTTTGTTCTTACGCACACAACCTCATTCTCCAAACTTCTTCTTTCTCAAGGTCAATTGCAAAAAATAAAGTTCCATTATGAAGAAATCATCCTCATTTTTTATTCACACAAGTTATACCCAAAACTCAATAATTTTTTTTTGTTTTGTTGAATGAAATTATGTTATCATGACATCTTCATCTTAAGCTCACAAAATCATGGATTCTGGCTTCTATTTTGGCTTAGGTTTGACCTTTCTTTGTAGATCGATAAATAAATCTTATTTAATTTCTTGCTGAAATAAGGTGGATCTATGCAAATATATCATATATCTATTTAATTTGAAGCTAGATCTGCTCGGAACTGTCAGAAACTGGCATAAATCTAAGCCAAAATTTGTTCAAACCAAACTAAGATCCATTCGAATCCGACCAACATCTATGTAGATCCAACTTAGATCCATGCAGAATTAGACTCGATTCATGTTCAACAAAAATAAATCCATGGGGTCCTAACCTAAAATCATGTAGATCTAGGTCATATTTACTACTCAGTTCCAAATTTTATAATTATGTACTTGAATGAGCTTGTCAATGTCTGTAGGGTACTGACAGAAGCAGCAAAGTAATGATCTAATGTGGTAGCAAGTCACTTGGAGCACTGTCAACATTCGCAATTTGTCTGCTGTGATTACATACTGATTGTAGTGGAGGACTACTCCGACTGAAGAAACATTTTACTGATGGATTTTCCGATATGGCCAAATCAACCATGGTGAACACCAAAAATCAAAGTATCTTTTAGGATAGAGTTGGTTACCAGAAAATTATTAAGACTACAAAAAAAAGCTAGAGGGAAGCACCTTGACAGATGAGCATCCGAATCTCATTTGAGTTTGTCTTATTTATAACTAATATGTCAAACTTCTTTTATCTACATTGGGTTAATGTCTTGTTTGCTTTAGCTCATATCTGTTAAACATTAGTAATAAATTGCTCTCTCAACTCAATAGTTAAATTAGGAAATAAATTGCTCTCCCAGCTCAATAGTTAAATTAGTAATAAATTGCTCTCTCAACTCAATAGTTATTGTCTCTATTGAGACATCAGATTGGTTAGTACATTGTTGTACAAGTGATAAATCTCATATTCGAGTTCACGTATGAGCGTCAAGTATGCAATTTAATATAACAAAAATTTATTTATTTTATAAACTCAATAGTGGTTTGAATAGGCGCCCGAGCGCTCGCCTAAGGGCTCGGGTGACGCAAGGCAAGGTCAGAGCGCCTCAAAGATTGACCAAGTGATGCGCTTCGATGAAGTGCCGCTTGGACACTCACCTAAACCTAGGCACCGGGCACCTCAATTGAGCGTCCGATTGAAACAAAACAATCAAACCAGACTATTAAGTTTGGTTCAATTGAACAATAGCTAGTTGGTTTGATTGAACCAACTAAGCTACATAATGTTACTATACTTGCGCAAAACCCACCCCGAGCGCCTTGCTTCATTTCTAGGTGGTGCGCTTCAAAGAGGCACCGCCTGGGCACTCGCCTAAGCCTAGGAGCCGAGCTCTTCGGGCGAGTGCCCGAGTTAAACCAGGAGACCAAGCCAGTGTTTTAGGTCTGATTCGATCTCCAGTGCTTTAGTTGGTTCGATCGAACCAACTAAAGCATTGATATCAGCCTTCCACTCGCGACTTCCCCAACCCTAACCCTGCTCGCCGCTCTCGCTCCCGTTGCCGTTGCCATTGTCGCCACTCCCGCTGCCGCTGCTCTCAATCAGTAACCTCGATCTTCCTCTTACTCATACTCTTCTCACTTCAATAGTATACTGTTAATAGTATATTAACAGTATACTACTAACTATATACTAATAATAATATTTTTTATTTAAATAATTATATTTATTAATTATATTATATATCTTTATATTTTAGCGCATCGCTTCGCTCGAGCGAACGCCTAGCGCCTCAGGCGTTTTTGGACCTTGGCGCCTAGCGCTTTTTAAACCGGTTTAGTATCATGTCATTACACATGGTTGGAATACAACAGAGATGAAGATAGCTGAAAAAAATGATATATTTGATTGCAAACAAGCCAAATTTGATGTCAACAACAAGATGCATGGTATACTGTTTTAAAATCAATGACAGTAGGAAATAGTATTCCAGGTTCTACCTCAGATATTCGCTGGCAACGCTCAGTATCTTTAGAAATCACAGCGCCTGCCAAGCCATAACTGAAAAAAAAACAAGTAATATCAGTGGGCATAACAACAATTTTATGTGCAGAATCTCAGATATTGCTTCAGTAACATGGGTAAGCAACTCACTGAGTATCATTTGCAAGTTCAATAGCTTCTTCTTCAGTCCTAAATGTCTTAACACAAAGAACAGGCCCAAAAATTTCCTCTCTCCAAATTTGCATAGATGTTTCCACATTTGTTATAATTGTTGGTTCAACAAAATACCCTTTCTCTAAATGCTGGCATTAGCTGATAATGTCAATAAATCCATATTGCTCCTTAAGTACAAAAGTGCAGAACAACAGAAGAGTATCATTCACCTGTGGGCGTCCACCTCCACATAGAATAGTTGCCCCTTCACTTTTTGCAGTTGAAATAAACTTGTTTATCTTTTCATACTGAATCAATTAACATATAGTTAGATGGCAATTTACACTGTTCTTTTGGGAATCTGAGTCGTATATGCATAAATATTCTGCTTTACAATGCCATTAACAGAAATGACATCTTTATAGATCAAATATAGATTTAAGATCCTGGAAATACTAGGATAGAATTGCAAAAAAAAAAAGAAAACTTAGTAGTAGGTTATCCACTGCTAACTAGGGAAGCCTGTGAGGTATTTGCAATGCATCAGTCCTTCAAACAGAAAAAAAAATAATCTTATAAAAAAAAGCATGTAGGACAAATACATAAACAATAATGGTTTTGTTTAGTTTTCAAGAAATGATATTATGGTCCCAAAAACCCTTATCTGAACATATTTGTCTATGTCAGTAACAGATGATGCTCACCAAGTTCTCATAGCAGGTTATGCTCAGGTGAAAATTAGAAATAGGATGACTGGCTTTAAACTGATGCTAATTTCTTTAGAATTGTACAAGTACTCAACAACTTTGATATTTTGAATAAATCCAGATGTGGTGGACATCATCTGCACGCAGATCAAGATTCTAAAAGCCAAGTCAGAGTTATCAGTTACATGTTCTGCTACCACCCAACCAGAAGGGAAAAGAAAACCTTGTCACATAAAAGACTTGCCTCAAAAGATAAGATATACAATCCAAGCTGTAGCTCTCTGGTTGGCAGTGTTATATGTAAGTTGACAGCTAGTGTTCACCACTTATCCTTCCAGCTGGAATTTAAAAAGGATTGCATGAATCTTACTAATTTATTCTTTCTACCTTGGTTGCCCCATCTGTTGTCATGCTTTGTATATTTTCTCTACTTTTCTCATATCCAAGTATATGAATATCTTTTACACTATTCTCTCTCCACAACCATCCTACTTCATGTCATTTTCAAAGTTTTTTCCTCGACATAATGGTTGTACCTGCTATAGGCAGCCATGTGGTTGTAACACCTACAAACTACTAAGAAAATTTAATATATGATTGTAAATATCAGGAAAGGTGGTTTCTATCAAGCTTAGAGATCACACAGATCGGAAGTAGGTAACCTGGGACTTATGAAAGACTCCTGCTAGTCAGGTCTACTTCCCAATTTGCCACAGCTATGAATTTGGCATCAAGTATAGATGGTCCATGTTACATTGACAACTATTTGTAGAAGTTTGTCAAATCTCCATTTGAGTCTTTTACAATTGAGTTTGACTCTATGGCCGACCTCATATTGAATAACATAGTAAAGAACATGGTATGCAATTTCGAATAGTACCGCCCGGTACGGGCGGTACATACCGGTCCGACGGCATACCGGTACGCGGACCGCCCGCTACCGGACGGAACGTGCTACAGTAAGAGGAAGAAATATTTAAAATCACTCGGTACGCCCTGGTGTACCGAGCGATACACAGTATTGTACCATACCGAGCCAACCTCGAAACACCGGTATGGTATGGTATTGCATACCTTGGTAAAGAAGGCACAGAAAGAGACATTTTAACAAGCCTAGAAACAGCGAATTTGCACTTCAAACATTCTACAGTAGGAATAAAATCACCACAATATTTAACTTCTGACTAAGATAATATAGACAATTAGCAAGAGTATATTAAATATGAACTTATAAACTATAAATGTGTATAAAAGAAAGGATGGCGTTTGGAATAAGACTTCAAAAGAACACAGCAGACCGCATAGTGCCCTCGAAGAAATAAGAAAGAGTAAACAAAGAGTTCAAGGCCTAAATTACTTGTCCAATTGAGATGTTAATACAGCCAAATGTTCTTAAATAAGTTGAAAAGATAAATGGCGCAGAGGAAATAGAGTGTCCATGAAGGACTTGCCAGTTTAAACTGCCCCTTTAAATTTAATTAAAACATCTAGTAAATAAACTTGGAGACAGAAACAATATTCAGTTACAATGTACAAAACCACAGGACACTCTTCTCTATTCCTTATTCCTCCCTTCATAATGCAAACATATCAAAGGGTAGGAAACCTTAAAACAGTAAGAGAGGGAGGCAAAAAGGAGTATCAACAGGGCTCTGAATTGCAACCTGATAGAGTATCATATAATGGTTAAGTGTCCTATAAACATTTGAAGTTGCAAAGCAATACAACAGCATAGCAGTGTTAGGACAAACACTATGAAACACTCATCAACTAATTTTACCTACTGGTTCCCCACAAAGATAAAGATAAATATATTGTGCAGTCTACCGACAAAGAATACTTTTCATTTCAAAGGTGAGTTTCATCCAAAAGAAAATTCTGATAAGCCACAAAATTTTCAAGCATTCAGCATTCAAAAACTCATAAAAGCTGTTGTGTTAAGTGGTTTACTTTTTAGAGTTTTAGCTAATGGTTTAGACCAAGTAGTAACTTAATCAGAAAAAAAATCCTAATCACAGTTAATTTGGAATTGATCTGTAAATGTCTTATACCTGTCCTTCACTAACCACAGGACCAAGCCTGCAACCTTCTTCCAATGGATCTGAGACTTTGATGTTTTTGGCCCATGTTACAAGCTTCCCAAGAAATTCTTCTGCGATGGTTTCCTGTCATTGTTACATATCCAGATATGAAACATAACTTCAATATCCATAGAAATAAAAGCAAGGTTTGCAATACCGTACCATACCGGTATTTCGATCTGGGCTCGGTACCGGTACGGTACGATATACCGAGCGGTACACCCAGGTGTGCCGAGTACTGTAGCACTGCTACAGTGCACTCGGACCGGTAACAGACGGTCCGCGTACCGACAATCTGTCGGACCGGTATGTACCGCCCGTACCGGGCGGTATGATTCGGTACGGCAGACCCTGAATAAAAGTGCCTTATGAATTGTGTAAATAGTAAATACAAAACAAATAAGATAGATCTTAGATCATAATATTTTCCAAGTAAAAGGTGGCTATGGATATTACTATATAATATTTTGATAATGAAAATTCGAGAATACACTTACATGCAGAAGAAGGCGAGAAGTTGCACTGCAGATCTGACCATTTGTCCAAAAGCATCCAAAAAGTGTCCACTCAACAGCTGTTTTCGTTTGAGACAATTGAGCACAATCACTTTCAACTACTGAATGCTTAGACCATTGACAAATACTTCAATATAGATTATGGGAGCGTCAAGAAAAACAGTTATTTCAATTGAGCTGTCTAGCAGTTTGATACAGACCTTTTTCAACCTCAACATCTTCAAACACAATAATAGGACTTTTACCCCCTAGCTCCAATGAAACAGGCTGATAAAGGCCACAGAGATTAGATTCAAATAGCAACAAAAAGGAAATTCCACAATTCCTATATATTAATGTAACTGAACAACCATGAATAACAAACCTTTCTATAAATCAGCTAAAGAGAATGTCTACACATATAATAATAAGAAAATACAGATTACCAGAATAGACAAACCTTAACCATTTGGGCAGCAGATGTCATTATTTTTTTACCAGTTTCGGTACTTCCAGTAAATGCAACCTGCATAACAAAGTTGACCAGGTGTAAGTCTAATCATCATTTTCTTGAATAATCTAACATATAAATATGGAAGGTTTTTCAAAATCCATAAACATTAAGAACCTAGCTGAACCTTATCCACATGAGGATGAGATGCCAAAGGAGCACCAGCTTCTGGACCTAAACCAGTCACAACATTTAGCACACCAGGTGGCAGTGCTACTTCTTTACAGACTCGAGCAAGCTCCAAACAGGTCCTGATAAAAAGCTTCTTAGATGAACCAAGTCAAATTTAGTTCAAAAAAATACACAGCCACTTCTTACACGGAAGATAGTTCTGAGGGCTTCAAAACAGCTGTACATCCAGCAGCCAAAGCAGGAGCAACCTTCCATGCAGCCATCAATAGAGGATAGTTCCTTGAATTAAATGGTGAAGCATGTCAAAATTTTATCTGTTATGCTAAGTAACCACATTAAGCACACATAAAAGGTGTATCGTGTGAAATTCAGAATTTCGGTTTAAATGATAATTAACCCTTAAAAATTACTGCAGCAGTTGCATAAGATGGACACACCAAAACTGCAGTGTAGAGGACTGCATAATAAAAGTCAAACTTGTGAAGAGATGACTTAAGATGTAAATTGGAAAAGGCAGCACTTCAAGGCCTAATGACAGATTATCATCATCCTCCCTCATCAAAGCAGATTGCAGGTAGCCAATTTATGAAACTTAAATTGTAGAGCAGGTCTAACTTCATTTGCAACTACAAAGTAACAACATGCAGAATCAGTGATCAGAGCTCTCTTCTTTCCATTGGTGAAAACACCCAACAGATGGCAGGGAACACAACTCCCAATTATGAGAACAGATAGCAGGGAATACAACTCCCAAAAGAGTAACGAAACTAATCCTTGTTAGGACTAAGATGAGCCTAAAAGTGCTAGACATGCATTTTCTATTTTCCTGTATTTATTGGATTTATTGTGATGGGCATTATTAGCTTTAACCTGAGCCAAAAAGATGACTAATTATATAGAAATTTTCATATTTTTATAATAATATGGGGAAATGAGTCTGAGTCTAATTAGGAGTCTACGACGATGTATTGGGAAATGAGTCTAACTAGGAGATTAAGTGGATAGGAGAAAGATATATAGACACTCGATTTAAAATTTGGTATACTGAAAAGGTTAACCAATTTTGCATTGTTGTGGATAAGGATCTTAAGGATGATATTACAGAAGGAAAGAGATTTGGGAATCGAATTATAGTTTTACAATTTGTCCTAGGAGAAAAGATTTTATATGCTATGATTACTAATGTCCCTCAAGTTGGATTGGATGATCAAAATAAAAAAAATAATATATGAAAGATTTCGAATGTTATAATTGAACATTTTGGCAGTAATATATGAAACAGGTGATCTAGCTAATGTTATTTTTCATAATATGCATAAATTCCAAGTCTAGGTTCAACCGTCCCGCAACTACCTGAACTGCAGGCCTCCAACAAGCTATTTCATCCACATATTAGAAGTTGAAGCACTTTGAGATCCAAATGATGAGATTTTTCAGACCATTTGACAATGAATTGCATAATGGCATGGTTATCTAATAGGTTAGTTCTTACTCCAAAGTCTTGTGATGTTTGTGAAAGATGATGCCAGATACTGTGAAGTAGCACTTGCAGTTCAAACCATTTACAATTCACATAAGAATATCATGACTTAAAAAATAGGACTGGTATAGTACTCGAGTTTTTTTAGTGTCCCTTCACAATAGGTGAAGGTCTGAGATTACAAATTAAACAATCAACCTAGCACCTTTTTATGCAAGAGACAAATGTCAAACTAGCATTACAATGGTCATAGATATGCACTCAGCATTAAGGAGACTATCAAATCCAACCTACAATATGGCATCTGCATGCTGCTTAAACTTATATGAAGTTAATATGAATACTCTAAGACTCCAGCTTCAACAAATAGGACAAATATTATAATCTCACGATATAGCGCTCTTAAATTCTTCTGTGTTGCAAACTGACCGCAGTTAAAAGAACAAATCACCCACAAATCTTGTAAAGGTTTAAAAGCAGTCAAAGGTGCAGAAAGTATTAGGAAGTTTTGAAAGATACCAAGGAGTAATCAGCCCAACAACTCCAATAGGTTCTCTCAGAATGTAGCACTTAAATGTTTGCATAGGAAGAGAGAGTGGAGCTCTTTGTTTCGCATCTAAGGCTTCTGCAAGATCGGCATAAAACTCAAAACAACCAGCAACATCATCCTGGAAAACAGCAGAAAGAAGTAAATGTAAGGATCATTGAAAATAAACAACATTCCGAATACCAACATATGTACCATGTCCCAAGCCGCTTCATCCAGAGGCTTCCCACAATCAAGTGATTCCAATAAAGCCAGCTCAGATTTCTTCTCGATTATCTGAGTTTCATTAGATTAAAACAGTTAGAAATTTTAAATATAAAATATAAAAAAAGGCAACCCTACAACATGAACTTTTCATATTTATCAATTAAAAAGTCTGTTATCTGCTATTTAAATTGTTTCAATAAAACAAATCATATCATGAAAATAGTAAAACAAGAAGACCTATATTATCTTTATAATTGAACCTATTCTCTCTTTGTATACTGATCTGTTTTCTCCTCATTATGGCACTATTGTCTTCTATATGGACCTAATTTCTTTTTATAATGGACAAGAGTCCATGTGGACCAGCTAATCCATGAAAAAATGGTAAAGAAGCATTATTGGATGGATAAGCAACCATAACTTGCCCTGGTCCACACAAAAAAAAAGGAGATCAATAAAATACATCTGATTTATGGTAAAGAACAAACAGAAAACTGATAGGATGGAAGATCATGATTTATCATGGTTTGCCGTACCGACTGGTACGGGCGGTACGTACCGGTCCGACAGGTTGTCGGTACGCAGACTGCTTGTTACCGGTCCGAGTGCACTGTATCACTGTAGCAGTGCTACAGTACTCGACATACCTGGGTGTACCGCTCGGTATACCGTACCATATCGGTACCGAGCCCAGATCAAAATACCGGTACGGTACGGTATTGCGAACCTTGTGATTTATTGTGTAGTTTCTTTATCAAAACTCAATCAGTTGATATTCGTCTCACAAAAAGCCACTTATGGATCATCAGGCACTGTTTCTCACATGATATGATGACTAGTCTTACTAGCACTCCTTGTTCAACAAAAATATGAAACAAGATCCAACTTATACAACAAATTTCAAGCCAAGCAGTCCAAGATAAAGTGATTATAGTATGTTAGATACACCAGCACTTATTCTCCTGCAGATCGTACCCGACTTCACTCATAGTATATATCTACAAGGATGGCCCAATATATCAAGTTCAGCATGTGGTAATAGGACTTACCACTCGATATAACTGTAGTTCTTCTTCTATATTTGAAGTTAAAGAAAACCCTTAAAACCCTGTGCCAACCCCCAAATACTGCTCTGAGCCTCTCTCTCGTATGAAGAGGTCATGCCGTCTGCCGCCCACAACCTCCAGCCCACCAATGATACTCCTCTCCTCTTCTTCCTCTTCTCCTCCGCTCCCCTATTATTCTCCATCTCTTCCCCCCTTCTGGTACCAGAGTACATACCATGAAACTCTTTTCAAATGGATTGCTAAATCTCTCTGAGAGTGAAATGTAGAAAACAGAAGATTCAAGTGATGAATGGAGTTAGCACCAATCTTTCATCGTAATGACAGAATAAGGCATGCAACCAAGTGGAATGCAGAAAATGCTTTGAGGAGGTTCACTGATGGATACCCACTGATTCATGAAAAAGGGATCGTAAAGGTCCTATAAGATGCATTCGACTTCCATGTTCTAACCTAGGGTAAGAACCCACAGAAAAAGAGGATGGGATCAAGCAGATCTAGAGACCAATACAAGTATCTTGCCCTAGAGAAAAGGATAATAATCAGCGATTCATCCAAAAACTTAAAACTAGTCCTGACATCAAACTACCGAATTAGCCCAAAATAAGAGTCAAAGGAAGGAAGACAAAATGACCAGCAACAATTAACAGATACGAAGGCGAGGATACCTTGGCAGCGATGGCTCGGAGGTACTTGGCACGTACGGCGCCTGGGGCACGGGCCCAGTCCGTACCCTTATTCCGGGTGAGCGCCCTCCGGGCGGCCGCAACCGCCAGTTCCACATCCTCCACGGTGGCTGCCGGAATATCCCCTTCACAAAAACAAACAACAATAAAACCCTTTTCCTAACGCCGATCAATATCAAAGTGGTCGAAGTAATCCTCGCATGAACTAAGACAGACAAAGAATAACCAAGAAGCGAACCCAAACGGAACGGTGATACAAAGAAAAGGGAACATCTACCGATAGACTCCTCGGTGGCGGGGTTGATTATTGGCAAACGCTTGCCTCGGAGGGGCTCACTCCACTCGCCGTCGATGAACAGCTGCCGATGCGGGATCGGGATCGGGATCGCCATCGCGTCCACTACGGCCAGTGCTATCACCGGATCGGAAGAAGCCTGCCTTTATACGACGGAAACAAGATGTACCCCGATCTGCTCCTCCTCTGTACGTGCCGACAAGGTCCGGTACCCGATCGTGACGGACGCGATACTCTTCCTGTGTCAGGTGGGTCCCATTGCCTCTGATCCTATTAGAGAGCAGGTAAATTGGCAGCGGAAGCAAAACATTGCTACGATGCGGGTAAATAGAAAAACATAAGGCACTGTGCTTTAAATCGGCCACTGAATAATATGTCATGCCGATGACACTTGCACTAAAAAAAGTGACATTTGCGAGTGGGATATGAGTGGAGCAGTACTGGTCAAAAACAGGAAAAAGCGATACACCTGACTCGCATCGCCAGTCCTGCCACGACACTATCAGTATACCAAGTCGTACGCAAATTGCCATTGGGGGAATTGCTACGTCGGCGTGTCCGTTCGAGCGACCGGAAACTAATAGCCTAACGGATTAGAAAAAGATAAAAAGAAAGATGAAGATTATTTTAAGATTAAAAATTATTGTTATTATTATTATAAATGAATTAATATTAATATTAATAATTATGTTAGTTATCATTATTTTTGGATCGCGTATAATTTACTGAGTTTGGTTAAATCGGTCCAATTCAATATGTTAATTCAATTGGATGAGTTTTTTTTTATTATTAAAAAAAAAAAAAGCAACCTGAAAACACTTTTTGTCTTATTAAAAAAATACATGTTTTAGTGGATTACATTTTTTTTTATCGATCGTTCCAATACATAAAATTTTCAGATGGAACGGTTCATCGATGCGCCCCGTGAGTTTTTTATTTCGTATTCCTCTCGGAAAAGGTACCAAACCACAGAGACAGATGGGGTAAATGTTGCATCAACCAGAAAAAGCAGAACAAAAGGCCTTGTGAACTATAGCATGCATCCGAATGCAACTTTGCATGAACTGTCAGTTAACTTGTCCTAATCACAAGCAGCGACATAAAATATTGTATATAGATTACATCATGGGTGACATTATATCACAGGTGGTTACATGTTACGGTCCATACGGAGTCCGAGAGTACATCGCCCAAGACAATGATCCAAATGCATCAATTAGACGTTCTAGACCCCAAAGTTCTAGCGAGCTCTTTGATGATGGTCTTCTCTTTAGCTTCACCGTCAACTTCACGATGCCATTTTCTCGACATTTTCTCCGCCTGTAATTTGCAGGAAACTTGATTAGTAGCTAAAATTCAAAATCATGACAGTGAATAACTGAGATTTTGATTTTTGTCAATGCTCTCAAAGTTGTAAGTGTACCACCTAATGCATATAGGATAAGTAGCAGTATAAAAGTTTCTGTCAAAATATTTAACATTTAATTAAATATAAAAAAGTAAGTTATCAAGTTTATTTTTTTGGAAGGCAGATAAAATGTTATTTTTGAAATGATTTATCTACAAAATAATTTAAGTGAGTTTAGATATAAGAATTTGGTAAAGATTAAACCAAGTAGCACTCGTGTGGATCATGTTTATACTAAAATGATAATAATGGCATAGGCAATAATTTAGAGAGAACGTAAACCATATATTGATATATAAGGGGATTCTCATACCTTTTAGTTTGAAGGATTGCATATATAGTTCACTCCATGTAATTCATATTAACGATAACACTCACAGAGACCACATAACCTATGCAATGCAGTCATCTCGATGAGAGAAGAGGAAGAGGGGGAATGAAAAAAGGAAAGAGAGGAGGGAAGCATCCAAGACAGGAGCAAAAGCGAAAGATAAAAATGGAGAATAATGGAAGTATAAGAGGAGGATAAGTAGAAGAAAAAGGAGAAAGAAGAAATAATTAGGCAAGAAAATGAGAAGCAGCTTAAAGGAAGGAAAAGGAGGGAAGGGAAGATGACAGAAAAAGAGAAAACAAGAAGACATAGCCAAAAAAAATAAAAAGGAAGAGAAGAGAAGAGAAAATTAAAAATATTATTTATCTTCAATATATTTTATTAAATCCCACCGGTCAGGAGTACACCCTAAACATTGGAGGGAGGCTCGTCCTCTGGGGATGCTTTTTTTATATTTTATTAACCTGGTCTGATTGATAGCCATTATTCTGAGCACTGACCTAAAGACTGAAGCTTGGCCATATCATTACTGGTTTGGTTCGAATACTTATGATATAAAGGACACAAAATAATTTTTGGAAAAGAAAATTAACCAACTCACTTACCCAAATGCGAAATGGACCCATCTGTTCCTTCACCATATCAGCTCCTGGCTGGATTAGATCTCTTCCTTTAGTCTTTATGTCATCAATCTTAAAGAAAAACATCATAAAGTTGTTAAGGCCATTCGTAATGGATAACTATCCATTTTGATAGACAATCAAAGTAACTTCGTTTAACATGATCAAGAAAGATGATGACATTAGAAGCATCATGTTGTGCAGTGTCTTAAGATTAAACCCATTAAGCATGTGCTCAGAGTTATTATAATGAGATGAATTTCTATCAGAAAAAAGCTGAATGATTATCATTCAGCTTCCTATTGCAGTATAGATCCTACAAAAGAATCTCAGTTTATCAAAACTGAGATGAATGAGAGAGCTCACCAGATACGTTGATGGATATACAAACACAAAAGCATGGTGTATCAACAAACATCTCAGTCATCATTGTAGAGGCATATAGCAGAGATTAACGGCAATGACTTTAGAAGATCATTTTTACATATTTAGAATAACTCAAAAGAAAGATGAAGTCAAATATAAAAGGTATAATTGTCATGACCCGGGCCTGATGGGTTAACTAACCTATCAACTTTGTGTGGCCCAAACCACTGATCAAAATGTTTAAGTTGAAATTGATAGTAATACACTCATCAAACCCTTATAAGCTAATCTTAATCTTGTCCACTTCCAATGTGGGATTATTCAGAATGTTTCAATAACTTCTATAGAACCCTGATGTTTATTGCTTGTAAGAGCAACTTGAGAGGTGAAAAACCACTGGATTGGGCTAAAATAAAGTGAATACGACTCCAACTTGATTAACTATTAATTAAAAAGTCCCCGCTTGATTAGACTTCATCAGGTCTACGGAATATATTCGAATAGTAGTTGGAACCTAGAAATTTTAACCAAGTCTTTGAATTGGTTACAATACCTAATCTGTATCTGATTTCAAATACTAGCTTTGATATCAAATTGATAAAATATTTATTCATTTACCGATGGTCTTCTTTCTTCGATAGAAAGCATCCTCTGTGTTTCAAGGGAAAAGATGAAAAAAGAAAGGAGGAAGATAAGATGTAGGAGGAGACAAACGGAAGAGAGTTGGAGATAACTAGTAAGGAAGTAACGTTGCTAACAATTGATAGGATATGATGCCTTTGAGGATACAAGGCCTTTGTGTTAGATTGTCATCCTACCCCCTCTTATTTTTAAACAAAGTAGGACTTAATAGGACTAACGATCATAAAAGATGAGTGATGGAAAGTTTTACACATTAACAAAAATCCCCATGTTATAGGACTCCATAGCTCTTAGAATATGACTCTAATTAGGAAAATAGTTATTATAATTTATAACCTATACTACGTTCATGTTAGGGCTTTTGGACACTAATTTAAGTCTAATTAAAAGTTTAGGTCTTCGAGAACTGCTTTTGAAGATGTGATGAAAATGCAATAATATTCCTAATCCGACTAGGACCAAGAATCCCCTTATGCAAGAGAGTTCATTGGGAATCATCTAGGTCTTGATTTGAATCTTGGCTAAGTTTTAACTTGAATATTGATTTGGTGTCCTTAGGTCACTTGAGTTAAAGATGCAAATCAAGTCATCATAAATCAACATTTTGATGGTCCAATCGTGGTAAGTTCATGCTTGGGATAGGTCTAGTAGAACTCTAGATTGACCTGAGCATATTTTCATCACAAGAGTGACTGTCAGTTTGACATCATATTTGTTACAACTCAAGCATCAGACCATATAAGCTATTCACCCAAAATGGACTACTCATAAAATGAGCATTGGGTATAACTCGTATAAGAATTAAAATTTAGCCCACACTCAATCCAAATCAGGATATTACAAAATTTATCTGGATGTACGTTCCATAAAAGCTAAATATTACATGCTAAATTATTAGTGGCCTGAAAATTATTTAAAACTATAGAAAATTCAATTTTGATGTGTCCATCTCCTTATGTTGGTGTATTTAGAAAAAAATGAGACAATGAGCTATTTATATCCACTTTATATGTTCACTTCTCTTTTTTCTCTTTTCTATTTTTCATTCTTGCTTCAAAGCTCATCCTTTGTTTCATTTTCTTAATCAAATCTATGAGCTAGTATGTGGTCTACAATCCAAAAAGAGAATTATAATATCAATTATGTTAAAGGGCTTTGGATCCTAACAAATTAGAATACTAAAATTACTTCTCATATAGTATACTATCGAATATACGAAATAAGACAACCAACATCCTTTTTTCAAAATAACAATCTTAATGATGGAAGATATATCATGCTTGCCAAGTACATGGCCCCTACTCAAAAATGTTTGTAGACAAGAAAACAAATGCTAAGAGGGCATTGCAGTTAATGCAACCGTGCATGAAAACTTACACTGTGCAACTGTAGACTATTGGCTGCATAAGCCAGTAGAATCGTAGCACCACCAAAAACTATTGATGTAGCAACAGCAAATGCTTTTCCAACTACATAGGATACACATCAAACTGGTAAATTTTCATATGTAATATTTGCAAAAGAATAAATTTAGAACAAATTTGTACCACTGCAAATAGGAAAGTACTAAAAACCTAAAGACAAGAGTGATACTGTGATAGTATGTTACGTTGTCTACTCAAATGAAAAAAAATTGAATGTCAAATTACTTTCTTTTTACCAAACTCATAAGCATGCCTCATATAAATGTTATTCCTAACACTATCCTAATTTGTCTGTTACGGTGGACATCATTAAGTTTAGATCGTTAGTAGTTACTCCACAAGTTCATGCTAAGGTTTATAATCTTGATTTGGTACTGATACCGGACATCAATCTAACAGAAACGATAATAGTATCAGAATTTGGTGAGTGTCAGGTATGGTCCAGTATCATCCAGAATAACAAATACCAATTTCGGAACCTTAAAACCCTACTAATCCTATTTTTTATTTTTGGCTT